AATCTCTCTTGTCTTTATTTTCCTTACACTTTTCAAGAATTCTGAATAAAAGTACAGGTGAAAAAATACTATCCCTGAAACTTGAATTATGTCATTTTGTCAGAGATGTAGTTTTTCTTTGAGGGTGTAGGTTCCTTTCTTTAGGACAACCCCCTTTTTTAATAGTCTTGTATTTATTATCTTTAAAGTGACTAGCAATGCACTGTTGAACAGCCCTGATATAAATTAATTGTGGATTTTTAATCTGGGAGAGTCTCTTTCTCTTGAATAATAATAATAATATGTTCCGTAGGCTTTGGCTGAAGATGATTATGAGGCAAGAAGAAAAGACCATATATCTCATTTCATACTACGCCTTGCTTACTGTCAGTCGTAAGTACCTTTTGGATCATGCTGTGCTCCTACTACTGATTTTAAAGGTATAGAGATACGACATTGCTTTATTAAAGCCATCACAGGTATTTTAGAGTGGCATGCCTGCTAAGTAGAGGGTTAGGTTCAAACAGAGGTTTTATTTCTGCTAGGAACCTGATTTCAACAGTGATGAAAAGGGTTACTTGCGATCAAAATTAATACCCAGATTTTGTAAGAGTTAAAAAAAGGGGATAAACTTCTGGGTTTTACACACAGAATGTTGATTTGAGTTTTTTCCTTTTGACATCCTCTGAGATTGATGCATTTAGTGTTTCTCAGGCATTCTCAGTGATCGATAATTTAATTTAGTTTAACTGCTGCTTATGCTTAGATTGTTGATTACTGACCAGAGACCTGATTGTGTAAATAGGCTTTATGTTATTGCCTAAAGAGAGAGCCTTGGTTTTGGCAAACTAAAAGTACCATCGAAGCTTGAGGTTTCCTCTCCTGACTCTGCTGTTCTTCCATATTTATTGCCATGGATCACTGCACTGCAGTTTTTTGGTTGTGTGAAATCTTGGCCGCCACGTTGGTCTCATCAAGTGTGTTCCTTCTGCTTCAGCTGTAGTCTCTTGGGTGGAATTACAGAGGTGGTCAGTGCTATGTGGCTGTTAGCAGCTCTGCTGCGCATCAGTGTAAACTCCTGACTCCTTGCCACTGCAGTCTGTTCTTAGAATTAAAACTGGCAAATATGAATCTTGTACTGTTTTGAATTGGTAATGCAGTTGCACTTTAAGTTGCAATATGGTTTGTTTAAATTAGATGAGTGTGGAGGAATACAACTTATGGCTGAAGTGCTGTTATGTATGGATACAGATTCATGAGCAAGACAGACTGGGAGTCAATAGGAGGGATTGTGCTCTAGGCCACGGTTTGGAGCTGGAATGGAAGGGCTTTTCCTTGGAATGGGCATGAGATAGTGGGGAGTTTTGGGGCAAGTGCTGGGAGAACAGACCAAGGTGGCTGACAACATGGTAGGAGCCTGCTACAGACCGTCTGATTAGAACAGGAAGTAGCAGAGGCCTCAGATGGCTCCAGATGGAGGAAACCTCACCATGACAGTCCCGGGGTGACTTTAACCACCCTGAAATCTTCTGTATTATTCACATTCAATCATGCTGCCCTTTCAAAAGACAATTGGGCCTTGCTGAAGACATTTTGTTGATGTCTGTGATGGGTGAGCCAGCTGGATCTGTGGTACATGTACCACGAGGAACAGGTGGTGCCCGTGGAGACTGATAACATAGTTTAAAATCCTGAAATAACTCTGCAAGTTGAGTAACAGAGTTAGAACTGAAACTCCTACTACCCTTCTTTAGTCTACATGTATCATTTGTGATACCAAAAGTAATACTGGTTTCTTTCTAGTGCTTATGTTTTTATAAACTCCATTAGTCATACTAGTCCTGTTTGTTTTTTAAGAGAAAGTACCTTTTTATACCTATATTGTAAGTTTCTACCAAAAAGGGAAGTTCCTTAAGTAGCTTGGGACTAAAAAGCCCCTGAAAACTTAATGTTTCTTATTATGTACCTGGTGGCATTTTGAATAGTCAGTTTGTTTCCATTATCCTCTCTTGTTAAGTTTTATTTAAAGCATTTAGTTACTATTTAAATGGGACCACTGCTTTCCTGTGGGAGATGAGACGCTTTGATGGTGTTGGTGAAAGTTCTCCTGTCCCGGAAAGTGGAATTGCTTGCTGGTGGGACTCTGATCTGGGATTCAAGAGGCATCTTTTTTTGGTTGGTCTGTGGCCTCAGGAAAACTGAGCTTGGGTCAGATTCACAGAAGGGAATACAAGCCATGTAGCTAACACCTCAAGGTTAGTTATTTGGTTTAGGAGGGGAATTCAGTAAGCTTTATCCACTGTGCTGAGAAGGGAGGAAGGCATTTGCCAGCGTGCGGAGTGAAAGGCTGTCTCAGGCAGGGACTGGGCTAAACATCTGCCTTTGTCACTGAGGTGCTACCTTCCCCCCCACCGGCCCTGCATCACTGTATTGGCTATGGAATCTCCTGGGATTCATGGTAGATGCAGATAATTGGACTGATTGCTTTTTTTTGGAAGCTATCTTTCAAAAAGATGATCCTTCTCTTTTGTAAGAGAGCTTGTTGGAGTGCAGTGCCGTCTTGGGATATGAACGGGAGACATGTTTCAACCCCCTGTTTAAGGGAAGTGACTGAAGAGTCAGACTCTAGGCAGGGCAGAGCTGAGCAGCTTGCTGAAGGTGAATCGCTGTGCTGAAATGATTACAAGCTGTTTTGGGCCACAGAACCAGCAGGAAAAAGTCTGGCTTTGTAGTCTAGGGGGAGAATGGGCCTTGGATGGGGCTCCAGGGCACTCTTTTTCTTAAAGTACTTGCGAATGTGCTTTTTGCCTTACTGTTTGTATGTGGATAGCTTGAGGCAGTGTTCCAATAAAGCAGCTTAATAGTTTCCACTTAAAGTAGTGGGTTTTTTTTCCCCTTTGTCATAAAATGGAAAAGGACTTAAACACTGTGTGGTGACCCTGCACTCAGCATTCTTCATTCTTTCTTGAAAAGCAGCTGTTTCAGCGGTGAGATATTTCTATGCTCTGAAACTATGTTCCCCAAAAGGTAAAACTGGGAAACAAACAAAATATACTGTTTAAACTCTAAGTTTTTATCATACTAAGTTTTTATTATACTGGGTCAGAAGAATAAGCTTGGAACAAAGCATTAGGTAAATTGATAAAAGCTATTAAGGTAGGAGTATTTGAAAAAGCATACTTAAACGGACGTAACTGCAAACTCGCTTGAATTCAGCTCCCTGTGGCCTGGCAGGCAGCTGTGTTTACAGGCTTTTCCTGTGACCTCGCCTTTTTAAGTTTCTAGTTGGCCAACAGTGCCACCCAGGGGTGCGAGTTCGCATCAACTTTTTTTCTTTTCCCCTAATTTTCATCAGCCCTCACTTACAAATTGGATTGTTTCGTTTTGGTTTTTACGTGGTCTGAAGTGGCCAGCTCCACCATTCTTGTCAGTTAAATTTGTAAAGTAGCCATCCTTTCTTGGCTGTCCTTCTGCCTTCTGAAATCTAAGACTTTAAAGCTTATTGCCTTGCAGTGTTAAGATTCTCTCAAGGCTGAGAGAGTTGGGCTTGTTCAGCCTGGAGAAGAAGGCTCTGGGGAGACCTTATTGCAGCCTTCCAGTCCCTGAAGGGGCTACAAGGAAGCTGGGGGCGACTTTTTGCAAGGGCCTGTAGTGACAGGACAAGGGGGAACGGGTTTAAATTGAAAGATGGTAGATTTAGATTGGGAATAAGGAAGAAATTCTTCATGGAGATGGTGGTGAGGCACTGGGACAGGTTGCCCAGAGAAGCTGTGGATGCCCCATCCCTGGAAGTGTTCAAGGCCAGGCTGGATGAGGCTTTGAGCAACCTGGTCTAGTGGAAGGTGTCCCTGCCCATGGCAGGGGGGTTGGAACTAGATGGTCTTTAAGATCCTTTCCAAACCATTCTGTGATTCTAAGATATGGTATGTACAGTCTTGAGTGAACAGTCGCATCCATATCCTTCTTTCACGCCTCTTGTAATGTCACTTCTGTCTGTCAAGACCGGGGCATGGGAGCACTGAACCTGTCCACAGAGCTTGGACACATACTTTACAAAACACCTGAACAGAGCCTTTCCATCCAGAATGATAAATTGAGTAATAATTACTTTCCTCCAAGCCGTATTTCAAGCAGAGGCTTTGTCCACAAAAACACACGCAACTCTTGTAATTTGCTGGTCCCCTCAGGGAAAAGATCTCTAAATACTGTAAAAACATATCAGGGTGCAGTGTTTCTGTGCTCTGTGAATTGTCACAGCAGCAGCCCACAGTGCAGCTCTCGGGGGATGGTTTCCGAGGATGCCCTGTAACAGCGAGACACAGTACCATCCACAGTCTGTGCTTGTACGTACAGGGTGGCTTCTGTTACTGCTGTTGTGGTACCTACTGGCTATAGCTCTGGGTAACGTGTTGATGCCTGGGAATATGGGTGCTGGGATGTTAACAGTCCAGTATGCAGAGAGTGAGATGAGTAGAGAGTGGCTTCAGTGTTGCTTTTCTGTTAGAGTCTACTGGCCGCTGTCCCTGTGTTCTTGTTTAGTCTCCTAGTTGTTCACCTGCAGTTGCTAAACCCCTTCTGCTCTTTTGTCAGGTGTTAGATGTTCTATTTGCGTTCCTCATCCAAGTCCATAGTCATATATTTTCCTTTTGCTTGCTTCCACGGGATTGTTTGCCTAGCACAGAGCGCTGTTATACAGTCTGAGAGGTGTGCCTGTTCCTTCAGCTGGGTGATACTCCAGAAGTGAGAACTAAAAGAAGTAGGCTTCATATTTGCCTCGTCAGATAATTGTGACGTTAATTGTACAATGAAGAAATACTGTGCCATGTTGAGAAAAATCTCTGTCTTCAAAATATCTAAGGGAAATGAGTTGGTTTTTCTTAGTCTCTTAAATGGTACTTAGCATTTATTTCTCATTTTAAATAACAGCTTTGTTTCCTACTACAGAGCGATTTTTGGTACTGAGACTGACTACCTCTTTTCATAGAATCACAGAGGGGTTTGGGTTGGAAGGGACCTTAAAGACCATCCAGTTCCAACCCCCCTGGCATGGGCAGGGACACCTTCCACTAGACCAGGTTGCTCAAAGCCTCATCCAGCCTGGTCTTGAACACTTCCAGGAAAACATCCACAGTCATGCTTCTTTGTGTGTTGTCTTTTCTCACTGAGTGCTCCTTCCTACCTTCTCTCCCGAGTTCCTTGCTTGTGCCAAAGTCAGCGCTACGTTTAGTACTGTGTTCGCTAGGTTTGACATCTAGTTTATAAAGGAGGAGGGAATGCATAATCAGAAATCATATTATGCTTTTATTTTTATTATTTCTGTGCAGTGAGGATCTCAGGCGTTGGTTTCTTCAACAAGAAATGGATCTCTTGCGGTATCGCTTCAACCAACTGACCGAAAATTTAAGGCAGAAATTCCTGGAATACGTTAATTTATCTTTTGAAGCTGTAAGTCTGTTACTTTCTGGGTTTGTGTTTTATAGCACGTGCCTGATGGCTTTTGCAGTTCTCGTTAAGATAGTTTTGGTACTAGTTTAAAAAAATGCACTTGTGCCTTTAAAAATCAACCATACAACTTCTGGACTTGGAGAATAGCCCTGCCACAGAAATGAGGATTAAGTGATGTAATTTTGTGCTGTAACAAGAGAATTCCCATCTGCTTCAGTCAACCAACACTCAACTGAAAAATGTGTTAATTACAAAAGCAAGTTAAAGAACCAGAATGATGTTGTTTGTTATCAACTTTTGCAAAACCTTGAAAACACCAAATCTGCGTTGACAAACATTGTTGCTTTTGAGAAGCTTTAGGGATAATGGAAAAGAATTCCTGCT